AGCACTAAACTCGCGCGCTCACGGCCACGGTTGTAGCACGACTGCTTACGCGCCGGCGCTAGCGCATACACTACAGATAGAATGTTTTTTTTTTGTTTATATGACATGTCCTTGCACTTTTTTTTTTTTTTATATCTTTATTTATTGAAAAGGGTTTGATCACGCAGTGAACATGTCACCCTCATAGGTAACCTTAATTGTAATTCATAAACTATACAAAAAATGCTTACATTAAAAACAGGATGAAGTTAAATTAACATCTACGTTTAATTCCTACATTAACTAATTTATATACTAATCTAGCCGCTTTAGATGTCGGAAAAGCCAATATAATATTACAAATTCCTAAATCCCTAATATTAATCGAGTGTTCAATATTGATCATGCATCTTTCGGTTTCGTTTCGGACACATTCCATCATAATATGCAAAACGTCTTCAATTTTATTGCATTCCGTGCAGTTTGGAGATGAAACTTTACCCATCAATGCTGCAAAACAGTTCAATGGAATATGTCCGGATCGAAGTCTGAAGGCTGTCACGATCTCTTGCCTGTTCATTTCGGTATTGTCAAACCAGGGATGGTTGTTAATGGTCGGTTGAACTGTTCGATACCAAATACCTTTGGATAGTGACTTTTCATCAAAGTATTCCTTCCACATATCATTGCTTCTTGCCTTAATTTCGCATAAAACGTCTGACAACTGAGGTTCATATTCCACTGGCACACCTTCCAAACATGCATCCCTGGCTAGTTGATCTACTTTTTCATTTTCCTCAATACCGATATGTGAAGGCACCCATTGTAATACCACATTTTTATCTTGTTCTTTCAATTTTATAATTAAATTTATTATTTTGTAAGCCACTGGATTACCCCTGAAATTGCCCGTACATCTTATCAAGTGTTGAAGTGCGCTTTTACAATCAGTATAAATTACACAATTCTGAAAGTTTATTGATTCTAAATATGCTATGGCTTCAGCAATAGCAATTAATTCAGCATACATGATCGAAATTTTTGAATGTAACTGCAATTTGATAGTTATTTTATTTTGAGGGTCAAAAATCGCTGCTCCAACACTGTCTTGGTATTTAGAGCCATCCGTATAAATCTTATAGTATGAGGAATAGTTATTTGTAAAGTAATTATTGGATAAATTCCGAAGCTGCAACTCATTATAAGCTTTCTTTGACTTGATGACATTTTTAATGAATGGCCTAACTGTACAAGACAAGTTCACTCGGCTTATCCATGTATCAAGCGAAAATATACCTAATTGGTTGTTTGAAAACATTGCTATGTCATTTAGTGACTCGAATACGCTAACTATAAGTGGTATCTTTTTGTGTCTCCAGAACGCCCGTTGACAAACTTGCCTGAGCTGTGATATTATTTCACAAGTATAATTGTCTGTTTGTGACTTAAGTTTCAAAAAATATTTACCAGCTAAATAATATCTTCTAATATACAAGGGCTGCAGATGTAGTTCACATTCCATTACATGAATGGCCGTACTTTTAATGAAACCACCTATTACCCTTAAACATTGATTTTGTATTTTAATTAATTTATTTAAATGAGTTTGACAACTATTATCATATAAAAAACTGGCGTAATCAATTCTGCTTCGGATAATTGCTATGTACAGTCGCCGTAAATGAGAAGGATGAATACCCCAACCTGATCCCATTAGCATCTTAAATGCATTAATGAATTTAGAAAGTTTTTCCTTAATTTCATTTATATGTTTCGCCCATCTCAGTGACCGATCCAACCATAGTCCTAAGTATTTATAACTATCCACTACTTGCAGAGATCTATTATTTATCCTTATATCAATTATATCTTTCTTATAACCATTCTTAAATATACATACTTTGCTCTTTTCACTCGAAATGTTTAAACCAATACCCTGCACCAAATCATTGAATAAATTTATAGCTACCTGCAACTTATTTTTTGCCTCGAAAATAGATTTAGTTGTATAATAAAGAATAAAATCATCTGCAAATTGTGAGATCGATACGTTTTTTATGATTTTACAAATGTTTACTGTAACTATATTAAATAATAACGGAGATAATGGGTCTCCTTGTGCTAGTCCGCGACCGGTAGTTCTATGAATGTATGTGTGCTCCAATTGTATTTTTAAATTTCTAATTTTCAAAAAATTCCATAAATAAGTATTTAATTTTATTCCTACCCCCATCCGATCCAATATTTTGAATAAACTATGTAAATCTACGTTATTATATGCACTGTCTAGATCCATAAAGCAACATACGGTCATTTGTTTATCTGAAAACCCGGTTTGAATTTTAGATACTAACCTAGTGAGATTGTCTAGTGTTGACCGCGTTTTTCTAAAACCTGTTGTATTACAAGATAACAGCTCATTTTTTTCTATAAACCATTCTAATCTATTGAATAGTATGTTATGAAAAATTTTGCATATACACGAGATCATTGATATCGGTCGGAGTGAAGATGAAAGACTCGGGTCACGTCCTGGTTTAGGTATCGGAACCACCATTATTTCGCGCCATTGTTTAGGTACAAAAGAGTTCATAAAAAAAAGGTTAAACAAGTTTACTAAAATGTTTTTACCATTCTGTGGTAGGTATTTTATCATGGAATAGATAACATTGTCGCAGCCAGGCGATGTATCTTTATGTTTTATACATCTATCTAGTTCTTGAACCGTAATAGCTATTTCAAGTGATGTATTAGTCAACGTAGGTATAGGGGCGTCACGGGATACGAAATCGGGTGCAAGACTACATAACAGTTCGTTTGCTTGAACCGTGTCAATATAGGATTTCGGTGTTTTGTATCCTTTAATCCATCTCATTTTTTGCCATAACTCACTATGCGTAGAAGTTTGATCCAAAGAAGAACAAAAAGTCTGCCATGACTGATTTTTAGCATTGCGTATAGCTTTTTGGGCGTTACTAATTTTGTTTTGTAATAATTCAAGGTTATGTGGTGATGGATTTCGACGAAACTTGGAGAGTGCTAGACGTCTTTCTGCTACAAGTTTAGAGAGGTCTGAATTCCAATAAGGCTTAGACCTAAAATTACTTTCAGGATTCGTATTAAATTTTATATATGGTATACATGTATCTGCGGCTAAGTCTAAATTACTAACAAATAAATCATACTTTTTTTGTAAATCACTCGGTTCTTTATACGTCTCGAAAAGTTCGTGTAATAATTTCTGATATGCTATCCAGTCCGCTTTTTTATAATTCCGACGTGTCATGTAAACCTTACTCGCCTCGAAGTATGTTGTCATTTTAATAATACAATGGTCACTCCCCAAGGTCTCATTTAAAACTTGCCAATGGATATTTAAACTTATATCTGATGACGCTAGAGAAATATCGGGTGACGATTGTTGTAACATACCGTTAACTGCTTTAATTCGTGTGTGTTCCCCGGTATTTAAAGAAATTAAGTTGTTTTCAACCAGTGCCTCAAAAATGTGATTACCCCTCCTATCAGTTTTATTCGACCAATTGGAGTGATGCCCATTAAAGTCTCCCAAAAGCAAAGTGTGTTCATTTGCACCAGAAAATAAATGTTCCCAGTCCAATTGGCTAATATTTATCGTTGGTGGGCAATATAGTGATATAATATTGTGAATTTGGTGACAGTTAAAAACTTTGACGTGTAAACATTCTATTCCTGGGTTAGGGGATAACACCCCATAGGAATCGTCCCTGTCTTTCCGAAATATATTGTAATCTTTGATTTTAAAGCTAATTTCTGATTGCAACCAAGTTTCGCTTAATACTGCTATGTGAATCTTGTCTTGTATTAACAAATTTTCAAATTCATTTAATTTTGGTTTGATACTTTGGCAGTTCCATTGAATAATGTTTAATTTGGTAATATTCTTACAGTTAACTGGCATTACAAAAATAGTCCATTATTAATTTCAGTACAGGCCAATCCGTCACATTGTCAACAACTACTAAAATAACCCATTCAATGCACGTTTTAATAACTCCTTTCCAAATCATTGAAGTAGTGTTTCCTTTCATAAATATAATCTCTTGCAGTCTTTGTAACAACTCTTTGAAACTCACATCCTTTTGCCTTTTGTCAGTTTTACATGAGTTTTGTGATTCCGTTTCATTCTGATCTACTTCGAAACTATTCCACTTCATCCAATCTTCCTCTGTCGATTTATTCTGTTTTTTATGAGAACTTTGTTTAGGTTTCTGTTTATGTACTTGTGCCGTCGTTGTCACTTCCGCGTAAGTTAGATGTTTATTAGTAATTTCCGTGGGAGTTAGGCTTATCTCCTTGTCCGATGAAACATTTATTGGAATTTCTTTTATTACTTCTTCTCCTTCATGTATTCCTTCGTTTTTCGGTACGTATAAAGTTAAAGCTCTTCTATAAGTACAGTTATACTCCGACATGAGTTCTCTTAATCTCTTTTCTTTAATAAAGTAAGGGCAACTTTTTGACAGAGATATGTGTTGTCCTTTACAATTAACGCATGTCATTTTAGAGATTTCACAGTTAGCATGGTTTCCGCCACATTTTGGGCATACCACTTTATTACTTGGACATCTTTTAAGAACGTGCCCGAATTTCCAGCAGCGCGAACATTGCGAAACTGGAAAGACATACGGTTCTACCGCTATTTTCAAACCGTGTGTAAACACGTAACGTGGTAAGTATGACCCTTTAAAGCATAAACGCACCGCTTCACTCGGCGACCATCCATCCCTTTCGACATTTCTTCGATTCAAGCGATTGACAGATAAAAGTTTGGCTGGTTCAGGACAGGATATATTTTCTAGAATTTCCTCTTCCGACATATCAAGATCTACATCTCTTATCACCCCATAGGATTTATTCTTTTCCATAGCTCTCTGAATTTGCCATCCCAAATCTATGAAGTATTGGCACATTTCAAGTTTTTCCGCGCTGATCTCACTGGTTAATTCTATTCGCACTCGGTACGGATTTATAAATTTAACCCGTGTGATATCATTGATGTTTTGCTCCTTCAGTAATTTGGCCAGATTAAACTGTTTTGGAAGTTTTTCATTGTTTGATATGTATAATTCAATCTTTTCTGTTTCTTTTCGCTTTTTCTGTTTAACTTCCGTCCACTCCTCATCGCTGCTACTTCTCATCCTTTTCTTATTATCGTCTTCTACAAACTCATCGAAATTCACATTCATCGAATCTTTATTTAACTCATTACTTGCATCTTCGTTATCGCTCATTTTACTCGTAAACAATTCACATCTACTTCGGCGCAGGTAGCTGGCCTTGGCTGGCCGACCGCGTACCACACTTTCTTAGTTCGCCTGCACTAAACAGTAAAGTCGCTCGTTCAACGTTAACAATAACACGACCGATTCGTGCGAACACCGCGACGAGACTCCATGTCCTTGCACTGCTACATCATAAAAATTACAATCTAGCTTAAATGCTACTGAATACTTAATACAATTTTGACTTAATTTGCTAGGAAAGTATAAATTAAGAATGCGTCCATTAACATTATTGTCTTTATTAATTGGGAGACACTTTGTTCTTGTGTTTTTTTAGATAATAAAAGAAGAAAGATTAATAGTAATCATCATACAAATACAAATACAAATTAGTTTAATTTTAAATTCTATTTTTACTGAATTCTTCCTCATAACTCTGCCATTGGCCGAGACCTTCCTAGCTTAGTTGAAGCTATCTATAAATAAAATTTGCCTGTAATGACCACACAGGCCAAGTTTGAAATACCTAAATCTTATTAATTATTGCGTGCTGATAGAGTATTTGCTTGCAGTTTTTTTAAACCCACTAGGTATATGTATATTTAAACTAGCTGCTCTCGCGCGATGTCACCCGCTGCTCGGCTCCATTTGTTCGTAGCGTGATTTTTTTCAGCCTATAGCACTCAGGAATATTGTAGCTATCTATCATTGAAAGAATTTTGAAAATCCGACCAGCGGTTCCAAACATTACCCCCTACATACAAACTTACAAATTTTACCTCTTTATAGTATTAGTATAGATTAAAAAACAAGAAAATTTAATACACATAAATTGATAGTGACTTATAAAATTTTACTTACACAAGGATTTTTTAAGGCTCACCTACTTAATTATAGACCGTAATTTCGATAATTAGAGATTAAATTAAAGAATTTATCAACGTGTGTAAGTGTGGGAGAGCCATGCTTCGGCACAAATGTGTCGGCTCGACCGGAGTAATAATACCACGGCCTCACAAAAAACCGGCGTGAAACAACCACAGCGTTGTGTTTCGCCGTGTGAGTGAGGTTACCGGAGGCCGTGTGACCGGAGGGCCGATCCTTCCCCTTCCCCAATCCCTAAATCTCCAAATCCCTAATTCCCAAAAGGTCTGCAACGCACTCGTAACTCCTCTGTTTTGGCGGGTGTCTGTCGGCGGCGCTGATTGCTCACGATCAGGAAACTCGCCTGCTCGTTTGACGACCTATAAAAATACTTTTTTACAATGCTTCTATCACGATTTATTTGAATTATAGATTTTGAGGTTATTCTATGATATATAACGAAAGGGCTAAGGTACATTTCACAGGTAGAATTTTGGAATTAACTCCATTTAAGTAGCTAAATTAATATAAATAAATAATAATAAATAAATATAAATCTGTAGGTATCAATTTCTTAGTAGGTAACAAAATATTGGGAGCGAAACATCTTTAATCTGGGTACGAAATTAATTATTTATACTTATCTATAGGTATATAATTAAGGTCATATGTTATCAAATTTTGAATATAAACAGTATACCTATACCGATGCAATTCTTCGATTTATTTTATTATCAAAAAAATGTATTGGCGAATGTACCTATCTACAATCATCATCATCAGCCTATAAGTGCCCACTGCTGAGCAAAGGCCTCTTCTCACAAGGAGAAGGTTTGGCACCACGCTTGGTCAATGCGGGTTGGCGATTTCAAACTTATAATTATAAATTATAAGTCCAGGTTTCCTCACGATGTTTACCTTCACCGTTTGTCAGTGGTGTCTAAATAATCATAGAAAGTACATATAACTCGGAAAAAGACACATTGGTACTTGCCAGGTTTCGAACTCACACCCTCATGCATGAGAAGCGGGCTCCTTAACCTCCGGGCCACCACGACAACCCAGGACACCTATTTACACTACCCGGCGATAAATATTGCACATCGGCTTTCGGGACGATGTTCAGCCGGGGTTGCGGGGTAAGCACAATGAAGCACCGCGACCTCGGCCCTGAGCAGGAGAACGAACAGGGGGGGTTAAAATCAGTAAGAGTCTGACACTCCCTCCCGCCCGGCCCTGGGCGGGAAAAGTCATTTGGTGATTTACGCCTCACAAAAAAAAAACCCCTAACTATATTCACATTAGATCATACTAATAAATCGCTGCTTTACAACGTCACAAACGAACACACGTGTAATACATGTGTGAGGTAAATATATGGATTTAATGAGAGCAACAAGATGAAGGTCGTAACTTAAAAATCTGTGTGTGACTAAAATATAAAGTTACCTTGAATACAAGTAGTGACATTAAATAAATGTCGCAGTTACATTGTTTAATATTTTTTCAGTGTGGGAGTGCCATGGTACTTTGGTAATCATGCTTAGGCACGAATGGTCGGCTCGACCGGAGTGATACCACGGCCTCACAGAAAACCGGCGTGAAACATCCATAGCGTTGTGTGAGTGTGGTTACCGAATCCGAATCCTTCCCCTCTAGCAATCTCAAAATCTCCTAATCCCTAATCCCCAAAAGGTTGGCAACGCGCTGTTAACTCCTCTGTTGTTACGGGTGTCCATGGGCGACACAGATTGCTTACCATCAGGTAATCCGTTTGCTCGTTTGCCGACCTATCGTCACATAAAAAAACAATCCAACTGCGAAATACTTACACATGTTACAAATGTAAACAAAAAAGGCATTTAGGTTGTATGTATGTGTGTGTTCGCGATTGGAATTTGTGCGCGTGTATCTGTTTACTCGTGTAAATACCTACATTTTTTTTATGTAGTAGGTCGGCAAATGAGCGGACTGATTACCTGATGGTAAGCAATCGGCGTCGCCCATGGACACCCGTAACGGAGGAGTTACGAGTGCGTTGCCGACCTTTTAGGGATTAGGGATTGAGGAGGGATCGGGGGCGGGGAATGATTGGCCCGGTAACCTCACTCACACGGCGAAACACAACGCTGTGGTTGTTTCACACGGCACATTACTAAGGTCATTGGCCAAATCGGTGATATATTTAAGCTGAAGCGTAGCTACCGCCTATATCTAACCTACCTATTATTAAGGCACGTTCGTAAGCAAATTTTAGTAAAAACTTCACAATGTTTTTGTCTGGCATAGAAGCCGTTGGATTACCTGATGGTAAGCAATAACTTGCACATGAACAGTCGTAATACCAAAGGAGTTACTACAATAGCATTGCTGGCTTCTTGTGGGTTGTTAGGTTAGAGCGTTTTGGGAGGGGTGGGGAGGCCTCCGGTAGCCTCACTCACACGGTGACACACAACGTAAGTGTTGGTTCATGCCGCCGGTATTCTGTGAGGCCGTGGTATCACTCCGGTTGAGCCGGCTCATTCGTGCCGAAGCATGGCTCTCCTGCACTTAATTGCTTTAGGCTTTGAAATGTTTAATGCGTTAAGATAAGCAATTTCTTTTTTCCTGCTATTAGGTAGGTACAGCAGAAGTTGATAACATCCTACATTGATTATCGTTATCGCAAACTTTGGTTTAGTTAGTTATTCACTTCAACGGGGGAATCCCATAGTCATCTATATTATAAACACGAACCGCTAAATGTGTTGGTAAGCGCATAACTCAAAAACGCCTAGACCAATTTTATCAATTACAATTTTGGTATGTATGTTATTGCCAGGAGAAGGTTCTTATGAAAGAAAATTTTAGAAAAGTAGTTGGTAGAGAAATAGGAATCCCTACCTCGTTAGCAAGATCTTTGGCGATTCGGGTGAGTAAGGGTAGATCGCCGCTCGAACAGATCCAGACCTAAGCGGGCGGCGCGTACAATTCCGAGGTTGCGGGGCAAGCGCAATGAGGCACCGCAGCCTTGGCCCAGAGCAGGAGAAGGAACGGGGGGGTAGAGGATCAAACTCTTGACTAATCATTAGGAGTCTGATTCTCTCGCCTTAACCTGGTCGGCTACTGAGCAAAGGCCTCTTCTCACGCGGAGAAGGTTTGGGCATTAATCACCACGCTTGCTCAAGACGGATTGGCCATTTTAAATTTATAATTAGAAATTGTAAGTCCAGGTTTCGTCGCAATGTTTTCCTTCGCCGTATGTTAATTTAATGCCGATTGGTTTTATCCTCTATGGTCCACTGACCATAGAAAGTGTTTAAATAATCATAGAAAGTATAAACGTAGCACCTTCGTAATTAGCCCTAAAACGTCCGATGCCTATGTAGACATGTCATTAGAAAAAATATATAAAAACGTTTCGCTATAAAAAAGCAACATGTCAGAGCGAGTGACCCCATTTCCGTGCACCGGAAACCATATCGCACATTGTTATCTTATAATAGTATTATAGGAAATATCTAACCAAAAAAAGAGGAATTATGTTGTTCGATAATTCTTTAGTATTAACTACTAGATATTACTTGTGGTAACGATTATCAATATTGATCTTGATTAAGGCCTAAAGGGGCTTCCAATACAAAATTCATGACCTAAATCTCAGAAACTACTGAACTGATTTTCATGAAACTTTTTTATCTGATTGGGCGGCAAATGAAGAGACTTATCACCTGTTAGTAGCAATCTGCGCCGCCTGTGGACACCCTCAATATCATTGAGAACCTTTATGGAGAAAGGAAAAGGATTGAGCCCCCGGTAACCTTATTCTCACGGCGAAACATAACGCTAATATACAAAAAAGAAATCTTAAGATTGCGATAGACTTTTGATATTCTTGCTAAGTAAAGATTTTTGTGATTATATCGATCCAGAGAATTGTATCGATCTAGAGATTATGTTATTAATTTCGCTGCTAGCCAACAAAAGCATGTAGTCAAAACAGTTCTACTATTTCAACTCAACCGATAAGCGTCTTTCTTAGTAACACTAATACCAAGCGGTTTCTGAAAAAGGCTTGTCAACGCTAAAATTTACTAATCTCCTGTTAAATCTCTTGTCAAGTAATCTGATTGGTTGTTGATAATTCAGTCAACCAATCAGATTAC